CGCAAAATATAGCGTAGACGTCTATATATTCTTAACTTAAAAATGGTATAAAATAATTAGCACTGTAAAATGGCATTTCATGTATGTTTTCGCAAAATTTAGCGAACACCATGTTGCGATTCCCAGTATCGCGACCATAATGAACATGGTATGGTGGTTCAAAGTGCCTGACGAAATATTCTGAGTCTACGTGTCGGTATGTTCTTTTAAACGGTGATAAATGGCCTGTTCGGTACTCTTTTGTTTCTGTTTTTTTCTATTGCATTACGTAGTTATGGCTTATTTAGGATATCTGTGGTAGAAAAACAGATGCTTGTTTTTTTTTTAGATATTTTTTCAGCCCTGTTGTCATGTTTCCGAATATATACACCAGTGTCTTGCGTTCTTCCAGAATATATACTTCTATGCAAAATTTCGGCGACATCTATGCTACTATTCTGAAGATACCGCCAAAAACATCCATACAACCATCCATCTATCCAAAAGTTTATAATATTAGTAGGATTGTCGGATAAACAACCAAGACGCACACAAGTTACACTTAGCTAAGTGATTAGCAAATGAAATAGAGCCCTCAAAAGTCTTGTGAGACATTTTTTTTTAAACCAACAAAAAATAACCGTATATTTCACCACAATAAAGCTCGACACAAACGTCCTAATTGGATAACAAATATGAGGTAATTAAATGTATATTAGTGTAAACACAAAACATAAGATTAACCTGTGGCTATTTGTCATAATAAATAAGTCTAACATTAGTTGATCTGTGCATTGTATGTATACTTTATAACTATATATATCAATATTTACTATGTAACATTAAAATATACCTATTCTGTTTTATGAAGTCCTGGTAAATGACCAATCAAGACACCTCATTCTGGCAACCAAACAATGCTTATATTTACCGATTTTTAATCTCCTAATCTTTATGAAACCCTGGTAACTACAATTCATGTTCCGACAGTCTTCTAATTAGGTTATAATACTAAATTTACCAGTTATAATAGGTAGGCTCCGAGCCCCTCGGTGGGGACGTGTAGTGAGCTGATGACGACTAAATTTAAAATCACGCAGTATTTATTCGTGTTCTTTAAGAATTTCAAAGATATATCTTCATAGGCCGGTGATGTTTGCGTGACTGACTTGCAACATAGCATCAAGGCAAGAGAGTAAAAGTTAGCCTAACGATATTACGTAACGCATTCTTTAGTTTGTTAAATTTGTGAAGGATGACCACTTCGCATGACTGAATATTACTGATGACTACGAATTATAATAATTCAATATTATTTATATTATTTTTTTCACACGACTCAATCCAAAAAAAAGAGTAAAGAAAACTAAGCCTATGTGTTCTTCAACACTATGTTCTACATCTATGCAAAATTTCATCGGGATACATTGAGTCATTCTGGAATTTCTTTCAAAAACGTCTAGCTAAAGTTTTACATTTTTAATATTATAGTTAGAAATAACCTGGACCTGGATGCAGGTAGCACAGGACCGGTCATCGTGGCGATCTTTGCCCAGGCCTATGCCCAGCAGTGGGCGACTTACGGCCGAGAAAGAGAGTTAGAAATATATTCATTACTTAGTCATATCTTATATCAGAAACAGCTGGTTTATAATTAAATTGACTCGATTAAAATACTACTCCAACAAGAATAAAGTTGGGAAAAAAAATGAATTTTAGGTCAAATCCCATTTTTATACGACTTTTTAGCATGAGTTTTTGGAAAATTGGCCAATGAATGAAACATCGATTCTATCCTCGTCTATTGTGGCGCAAACCAAGGAACCTGTTCTTTTAAATATGCAATCTTTGCAGGCAAATGGAAAACCTTATAAGTCTATTTCTACCAACTAACAATATAAATAATTCATAGATACGTTACTTCTTATAAGGAAATTCATTCTTTTTTCAATTCTATTATATTAAGTTAAACCAAGGTGACATTTAAACAAAAAACCATCAATGGTAATAGGATATCATGTAAACAAGATAACAAAAAACGTACAAATACATAGCGAACATTTTGTAATACCAATGGACCTTAACCTATTATAGAATTAACTGTTTTACTAACCTACTTAATGCCCCTACTGTTAACTAGATTTATGACACCCTTTAGCATAGTCCAAATTAAAATTTAATGTGACCAAAATAAAAGCATCTAGACAAAAATATTGTTAAAATAATATTACATAATAATGAAATGAGTAACGATAATATTTGGAATTAGCCTAGACTAGCTTTCATCAGCGACTCCGTACGCGCAGAATTAAAAAATTATAATAAGTATGTGTTCTTCCAGACTATGTTCTATATGTGTACCAAATTTCATCGGTATCCATCGAGCCATTCTGGAAGTACCTTCTAACAAACATCCATCCAATTAAACATTCGCTTTTATAATATTATAATACTAAGAAATATAAACTAATGAATTATATTATACGGTGGCAAACGAGTAAGTGGGCACCTGAAATTGCCGAAATAGCGCTCGCAATCATTGCTCATATACATACATGCGAAATTGCAGATGCGTTGCCTTCTTTTCCCTCAACAAACTAAAATCTCACTAATAATAATAACTATATTATTATTTATGCTTTTGTACTGCTACAAGCTAGAAACAATAAATTTATTACTATAGCTGACTTATAAATAAACAACGATATTTGTTCCACGTCAAAATACAACCCTGTTTGACATAACCTAAAAAACTTCGCGTGCAAATGTGATGCGATCTAAGAAAGTCAATGAAGTTATAAAACAAGACAACAGCCGCCGGGTCAATAATTTATAAAGGAATTGTTTCGCAACGTCCGCACATGTCTCTCCAGCGCACAAATTGGTCATGAATAAGAAACGAAAGAACACATTCGACCTCTAATTACTGAATTTATTATTTCTTATCACGCTAATCCAACGATAATACTAAAAAATATACGCAGAGCTAATCCTAAGAAATAAAAAACTGAAAAACAGTTTCCTACCGATGTTACATAAAGTAAAAAAAACACTAAAACCAACGGCCTTCGTTGAACGGGAAAACTAGGAGAAATCACGATACATTTGGGAAACTATGATACAGCGTGCATTGGAAAAGCGACCTTGCCGTTCTCCACGTTGAGCAGGAAACGTATGTCGGAAGGCATAAATTTACGGTTTAATTTCCTCTACACGATATTAACGGTCAGCATAAAAAAAAACTCTGCGCGTTTTTACTTAGTGCTCGCGTGTCGAAATGTTTTATTTTATTTTTCTTACGACTGTCCGCGATTCGGCCACACGACATCAATTTTAGAAGTGTATACGGAAACTTTGACACAGTTTTGTGTAGTTCAGTTAATTCTTATCTCAAATCGAAGTGACACGTCCGATAAATTGAAAATTACGACGCGGAGTTTATAATTAAAATTAATTTTGACCGACCCGAATTGATATCTTCAATTTAAATCTCCGTAAAGAAACTGTTAACGATATTTGCTTTAATTACTCAAAACCAACTGTCAGACATAACTACAAATGTATACAAATCTTTGATATGTTTAAAATAACTGTTCATGTCAATTAATCTGACAAAGCCTGTTAACTTGGACAAGACAGATAAACCAAACCTTAAACCAAGTCTTATTTTATCTAATTAACGCTACTCGGAAAATGTTTCTAATGTCCGTTCTATAAAAATTAAATCACTTTGCACACATATTACTAATATTATAAATGTAAATTTTTGGATGGATGGATGGATGTTTGTTACAAGCTATCTCCAGAACAGCTGAACGAATCCCAGTGAAATTTGGCAGAGATGTAAAACATAGTCTGGAAGAACATATAGGCTGTTAATTCATTTTTCTTTTGTTCCGCGCGGACAAAGTCGCGGGCGACAACTAGTATTTTATAAACAAGGCCAAACATTTCATATAGTGTGGAATACATTCTCAATATATTTGACAATCTTTTGCAAAGTTTGTCCATCACTTTGTGATTAAAGTTTGATGCGTCATAACGGTTACGTGACGTGTCAAAGAATTCACACAGGGTAAAATTATAGGCGAGGAAGCTTCATCAAACATTCAAGCATGACGCGTTTTTCAACCATATCACCGCGTCGACAGTATTATGACGTTACTCCATGTCACTTGGAAGTTACTTAAAAATATAGTTTAAACACTTTTAACAAATTGGCAAGAGAAATGTTCAAAATCATTCTTTATTTGTACCTAGTTCACATTAGTTACATACGGTACCTTAACTTAAGGTAAGATGGTACTTCGTGTAAAGCCCGAGCGAGTTGCTGGTATATTATGTAAGTAATATTACTAATATTATAAATGCGAATGTATGGATAGATGGATGGTTTGTGAAAAGATATCTCCAGTACGGCTTTATAAAAATTTGGCATATATGTAGAACATATTCTGGAAGAACACATAGGCTACTAATGTTTTGTCAACACCGCGCGGACGGTAGCGGGGGCGACAGCTAGTATAAAATACAACATCTAACCGTATGTCAAAATAGTCCCCAATAAAAAGTCGTAATTTCACACCTCTGAAATCAAAGTAATTTCTTATATCGATCATGTCATAATAGTGGGGTGGACAAGGAAAAAAGAAAAAGAAAAAAACTTACACAATTTCATAAGAATATTACGGTAATAAATAGGGATGACGCAAACAAAATGTGTGAATAATAAATATTTTGTGACACGTGGCTGTAACTTTTCTCTAACAACACTTGTGTCCAAATTGAATATTGCTATCTCTGTTTGTCAAATAGAAAAGGAAGGTAATGGACTTAAATAACTAGAGCTTAAGCAGGTTTTAAAACCTCCGTTTAATACGTGTTGCTATCTTTATTTTGTCAAAGATAATGACAGAGATGACGCTAAGTATTATACAGAGATGTTGGTCTAAGAAACCCACGATGCCATCTTAACAAAATAATAGTTAAAGTAGTTAAAATTAAAATAATAATGTACTCACCATCTTTAGGCGGACTGGCACATTGAGGAGCGTAGGACCCTATATGATAACCATAAGTGTTTTGGTGCATAGGAGGGAAGGGATAGCCTAATGACCTAGGACTGGGGAACCCGGACGCCTCGTGGGGGTTTTGTTGTCCCCCCGGACTTCCAAAATGGTGGGGATGCTGGTATCCGCCTTTAAACGGTCCATAGCCATGTTGCTGTAACTCTATGAAGGCGGATTTAGAGGATACATTAGTTGGGGTCGAATTGGCCGAATTGGAGATGTCGTGGGGGGTCTGCGAGCCTCCCAGGTGGTGGTGCTGGTGCTCCAGTGCCTCCTGGGTGGTCATCGCGGGCTGCGGGGTCGACGGGCCCCCCCCGTCCGATGACTGGGGAGGCCCAAAGGGATCTGTGAAACTCAGGTTGCCGGGTTTGTTGTTTGGGGATTGAATTCGGGTAATCTTGAGGGATTTCTACTGCTCCTTTTATAGTTAGCCGCCGGCCGAGCCTGCAATGAAAAAGAAAAGTTTGAATATACATGTTGTAATTAACAATATTAGACTAAAAACTAAAATAGTTTGCTATTTATCACTACAGCAGTTGTTTCTAGCTTGTAGGTGTTGATGTCAATAGAATGATAGGATCTTGCGTATTTATTTTCTTTTTAATAATAACATGCGAGTACAGACATCCGTAGCCAGTGTACTTGACAGCGGCCGATGATGCGTAACGGTTGTAGGTATAAAAAGAATTTAGACATTTCGAAAGGCGGCCGCCCACTCCCACGGGGTCACGAGAGTTCGTTCGGTATATTGTAAGTTTTCTGGAAAACAATTTAGCCGCCGACACGGTCAATTGATCCAATGAAGTGGCCTTAACCGGTCGATGAGGCGCACGGGCGGCGCGGCTCGTGTGGCCAACAAAGCTTTATAGCTTACAGAATTTGGAACTTTTTGACCATTACACGATTTGAAACTAAGCTTAAATATTTATCTGTAACTCTATAGTGCTATAGAGAGATATTTTCTATTATAAAATGAATAAATATATGTTTTATATCAAAATGTCGAATAATCAAACATAACCTTTCTGTTTTGAAGCTTATTTTAAATTAACCCGATATTGATTAAAGATTAAGGGTATTTTGTATACTGCCTATATTAAAGCATAAGTTCAGATTAGAAATATCTAAATATAATATTTATATATACTATTATTGAAGTATTACAAACAGTTTTATGAACCGCTGAAGGGAACTTTGAAGCTTTTAGATTGTTTGAAGCTTTTTACTATTACTGTCATTCAATAATCTGATATTCAAAAGTGGTGTTCATATAATCGTTTACCCAATTTGTTTATTAAAAAAACTAATTGGGTATCACCTCCAACGTAATCACATTCAAAAGACCAATTCTTTACTCGACTAACCCGAGAAAAGTCGGAACATTAAAACAAATGAACCCGAAGAATTGAAATATAAATAATAAAAAACCTTTTTCGGCAAGATCTTTGTGTTAATTACAACATCTGTTAACCCTTTCACTCGTATGGTTTACTCAATTAACCGTCTCCTTTCATCTTCGAGTCCTTTCTGGTCTCACATCTCTCGACGGCGCCTACAAAAGGTCGGGTCAAATCGTTTTGTTTTTTTTTCTTGTTTGTTTATGTACACGATGATCGCTGTTGCCAGTAATAATAATGTTTAGGAGTCAACTAATTGGTGTAAATTTTTATTGAAAATTATTACAAACAATTTCATTTATTCATATTTAAAAAGAGAATGTTATAAATTCATTATTCGTAATATTTGTAGCATCGAGTTTTTAAGCTTTACATTATTAAAGCCTACGAACTAAAGATGTAGTCACAAACCTTTATCTTTGATTTTTGACACCAAAATCGCGATATAAAACATATTGTTATTTCTGTTTTGTCAAAGATGATGAGAGGGATGACGATATGTTTTATACCAGTATTTTGGTCTCAGAAACCAACGATAAAACAAACAAAAATTGTTCAATCGCGCTTTTGTTTTTAAGAACACTGACAGACCTCTTACTATTTACCTTACTTTTGCTCGTTTTCATCCAAAACAAAATAACTTAAGAATATGTAACCTCCTTGTTTCATTTGAATACAAAAATGAGAATACGTTCAGTCATCATCAGAACACTATACGTCCCCACCGAGAGGCTCGGAGCCTAAATTAAGGGTGACTAGGCCATAGTCAACCACGCTGGCCAAGTACGGTTTGGTTGACTGCACAGATATCTTTGAATTTCTTCACAGATATGTGCAGATTGCATTTCGATGTTTTCCTTCACGGTAAGAACGTCGGATAAATGTACATATGTA